ATTTTCACGTGACTTCCGCAGTAATTTGGTTTGGTTGGATCGGCAACGTGGGACCTCTCTATCGGTCCTTATTTTACTATCTCACAGTACCTATGACCTCAATTATAATTGTCCAGGGTCTTTACTCAGCTTGAAATGTATTTGAATTTGTAATTTTCAGCTGGATCCGGTGTGATGATTTCTTTAGGTATATAATTTGAGCCAATATTGGTAAAAATTTGATCTATTATTAAACAATATCCTACAATATGTTATATTCTTGAAGATCAAGGAACCAAATAAATGAACACAAATAATTGTTTATTCTGCTTTCTATACTAGTTACCCATATAGGTAACTATAATTTACCATTTGTTCAAGGTTGATAATTGTTTTAATATCACAAATCCATTTGCTAATAAGATCAATAATTATTAAAGCTCCTCATGAGCTGGCTTGTGAGCCAAATAACTTATTCAGCTTGTGAGCTTACTAAGTTATTTGTCTGCAAGCTGGCTCATGCAGAGCCTTAATAATTATCTGTGATATTGTGAGATCAAAATCTGTGTCTCACACAAATCTCTTGGATTTGGTTAAACTAATATTTATTTTGTTTTATGGCAGTATCCAATTATTTAATTATTTGATTACTTTCTTTCACTATAGTGCTCAAGCTATTTAATTATTTACAGGGCAAGCTTCCCTTCCGGTAACATTTTCTCAGCAGCTCTTTGTTATCTGCCTGAGCCGGCACATCTCAATGATATTTATAATATCTGAAGTATCCGTCGTGATACTTTCTACACTGATTATTATATTTATGATTCAGTCTCTTAACTGACCTCACCTAGCTAGGATTTCCACTATTTAGGTGTTGGCCTAATCTAAATAAAAATAAAGAAAATAAAATTAAAAGAATATACACACACAACTATACTTATCAAAGGCGTCCCCCTGGTAAGATAGTAATTAATTAATATTTAAGTTAGAGTTAAAGGTTTATGTGGTTTTGGAAGCAGGTGGATAATTCCACTGGCCAAAGATTATTTTAAGAGATATTTATATTTGTATTTTATTAATAAGATATTATTGTTATTACAAGATAATAGTTAAGAATGGATTAACTGATTTTTACATGAAAGAGAAATTTACAATGTATTTATACATGTTAAAGGTTCTATCATCTAGTTATCTGACTTCGTTGAAATCCTAATTTATACTAATTAATATATTCTTTAAATATCATTTGAACCTTCAATGTAGAATTATTTTCAAGTAATTTCTCATCAATATGAGTCATGTAAAATTCTTTCATTTAAATATTATTCTGAGACTTTGAAATCTGTTACACTTTAGAATATTGGAATATTTATATCTCCAATATTTGGGTTATTATCCGAGAGCCATTTATTTGATTGGTGCGCCTTATTAATTAGTGTAACATTTATTAAATTGTACCGGTTTATTTCTTGTTGAGTTATTCCGTGATAATCGCTTCCAAATTTTCACTTCGTAACACATGTAAATCATTTCCGATTTATATGTTCGTTTCCCGTGATTTATAATTTACTATTTTACACTATATTGATTTTTTTTCTTTTTTATCATACAAGAAAAAGGATATTTCAATCACTACAGTTTGGAAACATTCAGAAGATCTAGCAAAATTGGCTATACTGAATCGTGTTGATGAGGTATATGTTGACTGTCTTGCAGTTCTTTCTTTGGAAACTTATATTTGAGTGTTCATATATTTTCTTTTTAATTTAGCAAGCTATCAAATGTATTTCAATTCATGCAACAGCAAATGCTGCTAAAGATCATTTTATAGCATCAACTATACATGTTGAATCCAATATTGGAGCATCTAAAAATTTAAACCTAGATCAACCACTAATTCAGAGTAAATTAACAGAAGAGATCGAAGAAGATAATTACAATGTGCTCAATAATGATCGAAATGACCAAACAGAGGAATTCTATGACAATAATGACATATATGAAGAGGATACTTTGACTGAAGAAACACCAACAGAAAATCTTGAGGAAGTGGATCTTGTTAAATTTAAGAGAATTTATGAGAAAATGGAAGACCAAAAAAAATGGATCTTAAATTCTGGTAAAGTGGTGGAGGATGAGTTATATAGGTTTGGAATTAGATGTGAACATGAGCAGTAAGTCTATTTTATGCTTGGAATATGATATAGGCTGTTGGTCTTGGATCTCAAGATATTAACATCATCTTTCTCAAAAGCCCTTGCCACTCATTCATTGTAGATCCTTGTGATGAAAATTACATTGAAAAAGGAATTTTTAATAGAACAGAATTAGATGAAATTTGTACTTATAAAATAAAACCTATTCCACAGATGCCTCAACATTTATTAAATTATATTGGTAGTTTTCATGCTGTAAGTATTTTTCATTTTAATATTTGAATAAAAGCATCATATGCAAATAATGACCTACTTGTTTATATACAGAAAACTTTTATTGTGACACATTAATTATTATTATTATTTTTATAAAATTTTTTTAAAAAAAATAACAAAAAAATTTTAAAATGAAATATTATGGGCAATGCCCTGAAGAAACTTTATAGTTAATCTAATGTTACAGTCATTTAATACTGTTTGAATCTGTATTTCATGACTACGATCTTGTGGTTTCTGTGAGGATCATGGTGTTCCTCGCAAGACCATTTCTACATCAAGTTCGACTTTACTTTGATTGTCAGTAAAGTGTCCTGTTGGTAAAGTGGGTGTCGGTAAAGTGTCCGAATCCAACTCCGAGTATACCAAGCTTCTCCTTTTTTTCATGGTAGCATCAGAGGATTCTGGATTAATGGAAAGCCACTTATCTTTTTCATTTAAATATCCCTAATTGTACTTGTACTAATATCAAAAGCTGTTGCTAATTCTTTATTTGTTGGGATTGGAGTTTTTTGTTTTGCCAAACAAATATCTCTTTTTATCAAGGCTGTTAAAGATTTTCTCTTATTTAATGACATTTTAAATAAATAATAAAACAAAATAGATAATAAATGAATCAATTTGGTATGAATTAGGTTTGATTAATGAAAAATTTAAAAATTGAATTAATACAAAAATCAGGATCGATTTATATAAAAAAAATTGCTTAATTTCGCAACGTAATTCAACGCCACAATGATGTGTTACATGACATCTGATTTATAATTTATTTACACGTAAAATAATATTGACGTTATTTTCTTTATTAAAATAATATTGACATTATTTTAGCTTGGCAATAACATCATCAATTTTTGATTTCTTTATTAATTAACAATTAAGAGATTATTTGAAATTTGTATAGTGATCTAATAATTAATGACTATGATTTAAGATCTGCATTTTGTTTTGAAATCACGTGAATCCGGTATAGGTGCTGTCTGTTATACAGTACATTATTATTATATAATAAAATCCGTTATAGAAAGAAGTTTTAAATAGTAAAAAATTGGGACAGAATTTTTTGTCCGCTATTATTATAGAGAAAATCCGTTATAGAAAGATCCGTTATAGAGAGTGTAAACTGTATGTAATTTTTAAAGGTAAAGCTGTTCACAGGGATACAGGTGTAACCTTTCGGAAATTGTCCGCATGTGGTGATTAAATTACATCGGAAATTCTAATGTCGATCTACTACTACTACCACTACTATATATACTAATAGGCAGACTGATATTATATTTAAAAACAGAAAGTAACTTACTTAATAAATATGACGCCTGAAATAACCATAAAACATGAGGCAGAAAAATTGGTACTTGTCTATTTCCATTTCCTAAAATTTAAATTTATAATAATTATACTAATTATGAAGTTTACATGTTAATTAGCTTAAATTACATCCCAACTTGGATCTTGATCCAAATTCCTCATTTCAAGGAATGCAGAAATACGATCCAACAAAGGATAATGTAGACAAGCCACCTAGACATCGCAAATTAAAAAGAAAACCATATCGATTGAATTCATATGAATTGGAGCAAGAAGCTCTAGAAAAAGCAAAATATGATAAATTGAAATTCATGAAAAACGATGAGGCTTGTTTATTTTCTCTATTTTTTTTTGCATATCCATATATATTAACGAGACCTACACCTAACACGTTCAATCTATCTCACATATATGTTAATAGTCGAATGCATCTAAAAAAATTAAAACTATACATTCACAAATACCATTTATTCGTAATAATAGAAATAATTCAATAAATGACCGACTTCTTCTTCTTAACATTAATAAAGGAAAAGGTCAGATAAAATTTTTATTTTTATTTGAAAATTAAATACATATATATCTAATTATTTATATATTTAAATAGGGAAACCTAATTCTAATTCTAACAAGAAAGTAACTAAAAATTTATTTAGGAATATTAGATTTATTAGAGATTACACTGATCCAATTGGTATGTCTTTTATATATATTCTTATATATTTATTTTTCAAAAGCAAGTATATAATATATACATACTTTATACATGTGTGTATTCATATATGAATAGATAATAAGACATACAAATTATATACTATTGCTTGTTTCTATGAAGAACCTGGTAAAAATAAATACGAAGTTATTATCTATAATTGTAGTGAAAAAGAATTTTCTGACGATGGTAAAAGAGCATTACTTGATGATAAAAAATTTTTGATAAAATTACATGAATCGAAAGCAATAATTAAGTAAGTAGATTAATCGATAAAAAATTCTACAATCATAACTTTTATTTCTTTTCTTATTTATTCTCTAATAATAACATTATTATTATTAGACAAATGTTTGAAAGTAAAGATATTTTTGGAAATTTTTTGAATCCCTTGGTTCTGTTATTGGCTCTTAATAACAAAATAGAATATGATTCAGATCCAACTCATGGAATTTCTCAGAAAGATATTAACGATTTGTGTAAAGAGCTTCATAGTTATCGAAAACAAATTGATACTAATATTAATACATCGGACCCATATCAATTGGCTGCTCATTTTGCTGACCAAACAAAACGTGAACAACAAAAAAAGTTGGAGTTGCAATTCCAATATAAACAATTACAAGAACAGTTGTCGCGGGAACAAAGGCAACATCAATTGCTACAACTACAACAACAACAAAGGTTGCAACAGCTACCACAACAACAAACACAGCAATCACCTCAATTACCGCAATCGCCTCAGTTACAGCAATCGCCTCAATTAATACAATCACCTCAATTAATACAATCACCCCAATTAATGCAATCACCCCAATTACAACAAACATCTCAATTACAACAACGACAATTACAACAACAGCAAAGACAACAACAGTTACAGCAAACGCCCCAATTACAACCACAACAAACGCCCCAACCACAACAAATGCAATTACAGCAGCAAATACAATCGCACCAACAGCAGTTACAGCAGTTAAAACGACAACTATCTCAATCAGACAATTCAACAATGGCATTGAAAAATTCTTCTGAAAAACCAAAAACCCAACATTTATATTATAGTGACGATAAGGGTAATAATCATGACATTATATATATTTCAGACATTCTTGATATTATTGAAAAGAAAAAATATATAGCGAAATTAAATAATCAGAGCAATTCCGTGAATAATATGATTAATGTTAATAATAATAATAACAATAATATCACCATCAATAATAATAATAGTCTTAACAACTTACCAAATAATTTTCCAAATACTATTAACAACACTATTAACAACACTATTAACAACACTATTAACAACACTATTAACAACACTATTAACAACGCTATTATTAACAACACCATTAACAGTAACAATCCTGGCAATTACTTACCAACAAATATAGCACCAACTAACATACAACAACAAAACATTATTCCTATCATGAACATAACTACAAATCAACGTCCACCTATAGCTGGGATGCAACAAAATGCTATTCCTATTACAAACATGGCTGCAAATCAACATCCTTCAGTGACTTCCATACAACAAAATGTAAACCAACGTCCTAACATAGCTGCCATACAACAAAATGCTACCATGAACGTAGCTACAAATCAACGTCCTCCTATAACTTATGTTCAACGTGGTGGTGCGGTGGGAAATAGCATAACACAAAATCAACTTGCTGCAATTTTAAATCGACGAATTCAAATTCAATATCAACTGCAATTACAACAACAGCAGCAGCAGCAGCAACAGCATCAGCAACAGCAACAGCATCAGCAACAACTTCAATTACAACAACTTCAAATACGACAACAACAACAACGACAATTACAACAGCAACAACAGCAGCAGCATATACAGCAACAGCATCTACAGCATCTACAGCAGCATCATCTACAGCAGCAGCAAATACAACAGCAGCAGTTACAACAACAGCAAATACAACAGCAGCAGTTACAACAGCAACATTTACAAAACCAGCAACAATAATGCCAATGATAATAATATCAAAAACTTCTTAATATTATTTTAGTTTTCTTAAAATAATATTGCTCAAGCAAGGACTTGATAAATTTATTATTATTTTGTACACGTATATTGTTTATTTTAGAATCTTTGATAAATTATTAGCTGATGTATTTCATAAATATCATTAACCCTGTAAATTAGTTAATTATTTATTTTTAATATAGTTTTATTTATAAGCGAGAAAAAATACTAATAAATTTTTTATTTATTATTATTCAAAAATTTTTTTATATTTGTTATATAATTTTTTCTTTTACATAATAAGCAAATAAACAAATAATATTTTACCACTATAAAAATTCAAATTAAGAATTTTTAACGTATTAAAAGAAATCAATAACAATAATAAAAAAACAGAGAGAGAAATAAGGGTTAGTCTTAAATTTAAAATGGTAGAAGAATGAATATTTGAAGTATGAAAATTGAAACTCAAAGAAAGCCTTGTGTTTATAACCGTAGAATTAATCTGATGAATACAAAGAGAAATGGGAATTTCAATTTTATGCAGTAATATAATAAATGAAAAAAAGGATTTGATTAATAATCAACGATTAACTAGGGTTTTTTTTGTTTCTGCAATGATGATTTGAGGAAGAGGATGTGAGTGTAAAGTGTATAATATATCTTGTAATAATCGCAAGTGATAAGCACTAATGCTAATATCAATCTTCTAATATTTTGTATTCTATAGAGATAATAAAGTGAAAATAAAAAAAAAATGAAAAAACTTAACTAAAAAAATATATCCTAATCTATATTTTTATATATATTGTTTTTTTTTATATAAATTTAAGTTTAATTAAATTTTTAAAACCTTAAATTGATTGATAATTATGATAATAATTATTTTATTATATTTTCTTTCATATTAAAGTCTTTTCATACTTCTTTTTTTATCAGCTTGTTTCTTATCTAATTTCTTATCACTAGATGCAACTCGTTTCTTTGGTGTTATATTTGAGAGATTTGAATTATCGGATGAGATAGAAGCTGTAGGATTCTTCTTTATGCTTAAGTGAGATGTTGTTGATTCGTTGATTGATTGAGATGGAGCTAGTGGAGTTGTGATCATCGTCATGTTATTGTTGTTGTTGTTAGTGTTGTTATTAGTGTTTATTGTCATTTTAGTTTGTGCCATATTTGTAGTAGTAGGGGTAGGGGTAGGGGTAGTAGTAGTTGATATGGTAGTAGATGATGGTAATGATGATGACGATGATGATGAGATAAATTTCTTTGGTAGTGGAGATGAAAGTGAGGGTGAAGATGAAGATGAATTTGTTATAGTTATTGTTGATGTAGATGATGATGATGATGTGGCGGAAGTTATCATAGTATTACTAATAGATGTGATAGGATTAGTGGTTGTTGTAGTAGCATTACTATTATTATTGTTATTATTGCTAATATTGCTACTACTAAAATTGTTTGGTATAGTACCATTACTGCTATTATTGTTGTTATGGCTATTATTATTATGACTATTACTGTTATGATTATTACTGTTACGACTGTTACTGTTATGATTATTGTTTGTAAAAAATTCCGATATTTTGTTTTGAGCATGAATTTTTGTCATCATAATAGCATATTTAGCGTATTCCTCATATTCCTCTAAAAGTAATTTACCAGCTTCTTCGTTAAGTGCAGATTCTGGATTAGGAAAAATCAAGAGACATTTTACAGTCTTCATATATATATATATATATATATATATATATGAAAGGAATATTAAATAATCATTCATGAATAATTATAATTGATATAATTAATGAATAATGAATAATAAATGTCAATAATAAGTCAAGACCTAAATATTATATACAAGTATAATCTTATAATTATTATTTATTACCAAAAAAATTCTCTCAATTCCAAAGTCTTTATTCCAATCTTTTTTTAGGGTATTTACACAAACTTCACCAGATTTTGATACATTTGGATGAAAGATTTTGGTCATGAAGTAGCCTGTTGATTCGATGTTCATATTGATATATGATGTTATTAATATATTGAAAAACACATGTATTAGTAGTAGTAATAATTAGTAAATTATTACTTTTTCAAGAATTCGTATTAATTAAATTAAATTATATAATTAAAATCATATAATTAATTAAATAATCGATTGATTGATTGATTGATCGATCGATTGATTAATTAGTTTGCAATTACATTTTGGAGGTACTGATGGAAAATCAGTTCCTAGTACCACTTTGATCTTAAACATTCCTCCTTCATAAGGTGTTCCCTCTGCATATATAATTTCAAAAAGAAAAGTAAAAGATCAATATCATCATCATTTTATAAAAAGATCATTTGAAATTAAAGTAATTAGTTAACCGACCAGGTCCTAATATCCAGGCTTGAATATCACAAACATCTAGTTCATTGACAATAACTCTAATTCCTTCTGGAGGCTGTGCAACAAGAATGTTTAATTCTTTTGATATTCTTTTGATAATGGCTGGTGAAATGTTTTCGATAGCTGACTATAATTATAAATAAAGAGAGAGAAACAGACAGAGAGAGACAAAGAAAAAGTACAGAGAGAAATACACGTACATATATACAGTTATAGATACAATACAATAAGTTATATATTTAAAGAACAAGAGCAAAATTTTAAAAAGATAAATATATGGAAATAGAAATAGAAATTACCATATTTATAGCGTCTATTTAAATTTTTTTAGATTTGTTTTAAATTATTAAATATATATTATTCTATGTTGTTTTTAATTTTTTATTTTTTTTTTTTAAAAATAAACCTCTTTCACGTGATTACATCAAATAATGGCAAATCCGGAAGTGATTTTCAAGGGTTAAAATATCACTGTATTAGTATGTATAAAATTAGGACCTCGGACAATCATATTAGGCGTTACATTTAAGGTTGCTTGCCAAAACTTCCTTAACGACTGCTGAAACTCTATGAATAATTGGTGTGTAACCTGCTGAAATTCTGCCAATTGTCGAAACCCCCAAATGTGAAACTCTGCTGAAACAATTATTGTACAGTGCGGATCATCTATACTCAAAAGTTAAAAAAATTTGAAATATAATGTGATCCACATGTCAGATTTTTTAAAAACCACCACAGCTTTAAAAAGGGAATAAATTCATGTAAAGTAAAAAATTTGTCTCAAATTTTCTTTTCATAGATTTTTTTAAATTCGAGAGTAATGTCCAAATGCAATAAAGTTTTCGTGTTACAAATTTTGAATGTTCATTAACTTTTTTATTGTAAAGAACTTTTATCTATTAATAAAAAAAAGGAAATAAATAATACAAATAATAATAAAACAATATATTGATATGTTGTAAAAATATTTTATGAAAAAAAAATTGTTGCAGGATTTACTTAATTTCTTAAGTGTATAACAAAATTAGGAATTCCCATTAGAAAATTATTTTATTATTTTGAAACAAATCTTTTTAATATATATATATATATATATATACATTTTATTGCTGACTTTTTATTTATATTTTTTGAACCTAATTGAATATCAAAATTTTAATAATGTCATACATCAGACATTAGAAATAAATAATTTTATTATAAACCTTCTTGAGCAAATTGGTCATAATGAAGCTATTTGTATTCAAATAACCACTTTGTTTGAAACTATTGATTCCATTCAGCAAGCTCAGCATCAAAAATATTAATTGTGATTGAGATTTCTTCTGGATTTAATAAATCATTTATTTGTAAACTGCAAATATCAAAATAAATAAATATTTTTTTTTATACAAAGAAAGAAGGCATCAGGAGAATTGTTATTTATAAACATACATTGAGCCTCTTGATCTTGAGCTACTTCTATCAAATCCATATTTAAATAAACTCATTTTATATTAAAAGAGTTTTTTTACATTACACTATTTCCTTTTTTTCTTCATGACTGGAAAAACTATTTCTTCTGGAAATTTTCTGGTGAATTCAATTGGCATTTGCATAGAAAATTATGTAATATTGCTGAATGTAATTATTGCATAATTTTTGTATAAATTTTGCATAATATTATGGGGTCTGCTGTAAACTTACATAAATAGTGTAATAATTATATAAATCCACATCAGAAAAAATTTCCTGATGTAATATGACTTAATAATTTTGAAAAAATTTAACTGAAAGTTATCATGTTGAAATCATTGGTCTTCATAGAACAAAAGTGCCTTGCACTATCAAAAAGTATCTCAATGAAAAAGATCTTATCACAAAATTATAATGATACCCTAATGAGATCGAGTTAAAACAATTATTGAAAATAATGGGTATTAATAAAATACAGAGTTTGTTTATATTTTTTATAATCAGATATGATTATTGTATGCATTTTGCACAACTGATTTTTTTTTGTGGTGAATAAATATTTGATGATAAAAATGTTATTCATGTAGACCTTCAAAAAGGCAAATCAAAAAAAGTCATTTTCATCAAACATTTGAAGATCTGGTGATGGTGATGATGATGATAATAATTTAAATTTCAATAAAAGCATCAACAAAAGACTCTTCTATGCAAAAGCTGCTGAAAATTAATATTTAAAAGCAAAAAAATCAAATATGTCATTAAAAGAATTTACAAGCATCACTTGGCACAACATTGTGATAAATGAGCATCCTGATCAGAATTTGCAAAAATTATTGCAGCAGATGATTGCAGCAAGTACAGTAAGCAAATTTCTATCCTTTTGATAACAGATCCATCTTTAATAGGCCTTAAACTATAAGAATTGACCCAGATGTGGACATAACCTTGTCAATTTTGTATCTGAATGGAAAAACAAAAGACATTTTTGTTGGAGCTGTTTGTTAGTAGACAAATGGTGCTATCTTAGCAGATTTTCCATTAATTGGTGGGTCCTGTACAAACACTGTTATTGTATGCCACTGATCTTATTCTTGTGGATTCAAAAGATGATTAGTTGGAAAATTTTTGTTAGAAATGATATGGGCATACTGCAACAAAACCAGACAAAGTGAACATTGGTATTACCAAGAATTTCAGGGATCAATAGTGTTTGTTTAACATCACAATTATGTTGCAATGTAATGTGATCAATGATATTTGTCTTTTTTATAAATTTTAATTTCTTGATTTCTACATTTTTACAAATTTATAAATGATAATTTTCTAATTTTCCAAATTTTACTTTATGCAAAGAACACACAATATGTAAAGAACAACCAAGATCCAATAACATATCCTCAAATTTATCAAACTACAAATTTAATTATTGCTTGTATTATTTTAGTTCAATATCTTCCTCATCAGATGATAGTGGGATAATCCTGATTGTCGTTATTATAAATTAAATAAATATTAAGTATATGAAATAGTAATATTTGTAAGGAAAAAAGTTCAAACTATTATTTGCAATAAACTTATCAAGTATCTGAAAGTGATTGAGATCCTAATTATGAAAGTGACTGAGATCCTTCATCATCAGATTCTGGAGATCCAACAAGAAATGAAAATGAAGATAATTTGGGACTAGAATCTTTAATATCTAAATCTAATTCAACAGAATCAGCTTGTTCTGATGGATCATAACCTGATTCTGAAATATCTAAGACTGATGTGTCCCCTCTAATGATGCTGTCTGTAAATCAGATTTACAGAAGTTGTATCTAGCAACCAAGTGCCAAAATCTGTAATTCTCTGTAATATGTAAATGTATCTGTAATTCTGTAATTCTGTAATATGTAAATGTATCTGTAATTCTGCAATTCTGTAATATGTAAATGTATCTGTAATCCTGTAATTCTGTAATTCTGCAAATCTTATATATAAATAAACTTTCATGTAACAAATTTTTTTATAATGAACAAGAGACCAAGAAAAGAACCAAGCAATTCTATTAATTGTGGCAGACAATTTACAGGTGTATGGAGGCAATTTATTCAAGGGTTAAGGAAAAGGAAATGGTATATATGAAGGTGAATGTATAAGTTGTCATAAAAAATGGGCATTTGCAAAACCTGGAATCTTACATTCTCATTTAGCAAATGCTGTATGGTAAGAAATGGCAAAATTTGTCAATCCACAAACTTGAAAGTCTGGCTAAAGTTTATAGATATAATATAT